CACTCCTTTGATTTTTCCTCGTACTTTGTTTTGCCTTTTCGTCACGTCTGTCTTTGTACGGACCTGCCGTGTTCTCCGTCGTTTTGTACATCACTGTTTTTGGGGCAAATAAAATGCAAGTAGGGATTAAAACCGCAGAAATAATGATTACCGGTGCTGGAAATGCAATGCTACTCGTACCTACAATGCAATGCACGAAAGTCACGTGGTCTGTCAATCTCTATTCACTCAGCTTTCACTGTGAGTTCTATGCTAGCTGAGCGTTAGCATGCCGTCTGTGCTAATGCTTGCAAAGAGCTAAAGTTGTGTTAGCAGCGTTATGTGTTGTTTCTATCCTGGATGACGTTTCCCGTCTACCATCGCGCTCTCGTTCTTTAGTTCAATAACAACTAGTAATGTCAATGTCCACGCTGTAGACTGCGCCACCATTTTTCAACACACGAACTGAAAACAGCTGAATACAGCGCGAGTGTAAGAACAGACAGGGGTAGACGGGCAGACTAACAATTCCAAGGAATTCGACTAAATGATCTCAGTTTCCATCCCTACTAAATACTTACCTTTAGATGAGCCCACAATCAGAGAGAACCTCCGTGATGGAGCTGAAATCAGCAGACTGACACAACTATCGATAAAAACAACGCTAGTGGGATAGCCATACTCTTCTTCTTAGTCTTTTTAGTGTAATGGCATTTTGCAAAAGTGCATTACCGCCACCTACTGGACTGGAATGTGGATCAGGAACTGGAAAAAAACGCATCCTGACTATTAAATCCATTCTAATGACAAATTTCAACAGCTGACCACAGCTGAGACAGTTTTTCTGGCTGTTTTTCTAATGTAAAATATCTTTAGCTTCTCAAAATTTGCTATTAATGTCTTCCTCTCCTGGACATGTGCCTGGCATTCTAACAGTGCATGCTTAACAGATTCAATTTTTTTGCAGTAAGCACTAAGGGTAGGTTTTGATTATCGATTTATCGATTGAAATCGATTCTTGCTTGGATAACGTCATATCGATTCATTAAAATCCTGAATTGGTTTTTTAAATATAAATTTATTTTGCCCGAAAAGCCAGAATCTCAGTTTAAACCTCACAAAATTTCAACAACCACCAAACAGCTAAAACAGTAAACGAGAGCAGGTACACGGATTCTGCACAAAGACGTAAACATAAAGCGCGGACCCGCCGATGCATCAGAATCAGTGAAATGTCCCCTTTCTCACATGGACACGGACCCGCCGTCGGGGCTGAAGCCGACAGATCGCTGAGCTCTAGTTAGCACACATTGCTGTTTGGTACTTGTCTGTTTCTTCTCTCTGGTACCTACCCACCCACCCTCTTCCAGTGACCATATTTCTGAATGTTTTATGAATGCTGATATTCCAGTTATCCTGCCACATTCTTGGGACTCTGTATAATTATAATACTTAACTTCAGCTTTGTTTAATGTATCTGCAAATCAAGAGATTATGATTTGAATGGCTGTCTTGCCAATACATCTATATCCTCATCCTCATTCCTTCAGGTTGGTAATTGCATGCAATATCTTTCTAATTATTCAGCAGCTGTGATAAATTGTGGAAAATCACATATCTGTTGCTGTCTACATAGAGAGAAAATCATACTTAAAAGAAATTCCTTAACTAATTAACTATTACATTTGCACTCAGTAACCTTCCTGTTCTATAGATTTATAACCCGAATACAACCAACTGGGGAGCAGGTTGACTCTTGAGTTGTTCTAAATGACAAATATTCTTTCAGACTGATGGAAGCATAGTAGGAGCTAGTGTGCATTTATAAATGCCACTGTATCGATACAATTTCTAGAGCAACCTCAACCTCCAAGCAGTTGTAGCTACCTCCATGGCCATATAATACTCGGCAACAGTGGACAACCTGTAGTTGCCAAAACAGTTAGCAATTTGTAGCAGTGCTGCACACCGAAGGCAACCACAGAGCTGACACTGAAGCAAAAGCAGCTGCAGAGTCATGTTAGAACAATCACACACAAGATTTAGACTTAGAGATTTTGTGAGGCATACAGCAACATGCGCCAAACCCAGAAAAACATCTCTGGATTAAAAAAAGTGCAATTTGAAATGTTTAGGACCTACTTAGCAGAAAGCAAGTGCATCTTACCTAAGAGTGTATATAAATATGCAATTTTGAGCAATTCTCCTACATGACTCTCAACAGGAGGGATGCATCTATGATAAACAACGCATTTAACACCTATGGATTTATTAACTACTAAAAAAATGTGCTAGATGTGAAATGTACATAAAGAACAACCCTCAGAGTCAGGACAGACC